TTTGTGTCTCGCTGCTAGTTCTGCTTTAATCATTTTCACGATTCCCTGGTCGTGCTCGCGCACGGATATCCGCAGGGATTGTGCCTGTGTGTTTGTAACGTGGAAAACGTGTTTAAATTATCCAGATGGGTAAGGATTAATTTTCCCCGTTGAAATTTATGTACGACTCTGATAAGTTGAGGGTAGAAATGCTGATGTATCGCGACTGTTGTAGTTTGAGAATTTAAATAATGTACTGCTCCTGGCGAAAAAACCTGGCCTCTCACGATTTTTAACTTTTTTCGGGTTTTGAGAATGTACGGAAGTCATGAACTAAACAGAGAACCCAGTACACATGTATGCAGGATGGGGCACCGTGTCGTAGAGCCAAATTCGTCAGAGAATTACTCTCATTAAAGAAAATCTCCACATTCCCATGGTCAGGCAATTGAGAATGTCTGAAGTTTACTTAAACCACTTGTACACGCATAGATCAACAGTCGCCACATTAGCTGATTTGAAGAAAAAAATTCTGGGTATTTGGGAAAATCATCGAAAAATAGAGGACGCCATAAAACAGCGCATACAGAGAACGCAGAGGAATTATTAATTTGCATGCGTATACTTCAGAAGTTAATTAAAATGATTATTAAATTACGTTCGAGCCTTTACATTTTCCCAAAAATACGAAAGATGTTGAAAACTGTGAAGTGGCCTTCATTTTTTGGGGTCAGGGGCTGTACAAACAATCTGGACGATGTTAAGATGTTGATAATCATATTCTCGAGGACACGGCAGCTAGGACGTGTAACACACGTCATTACAGTGTCATGGGACTCATCACCATTCGTCTCGTAGAGCTAGGAAGCCCCTTTAGGCCAATCCAGGGCTAAATGTCCTCGTGTTTTCTCAGCTGGGGCGCAATACAGGGATCAAGGGTGGGAAGGTCGAGGTTTCATAACCTTGGGTTGGCTGGAGGCGGAACCCTGCGACCCTGGGGTGGGAAGGTCGAGATCTCTGAACCAAGGACGTAGGCGTAGGTTAAGTCCCACGACCTTGGGGCGGGGCGATCGAAGTTTCTGGCCACTGGGTTGGTCCGTGGTGGGATCCAAGGTTATGGAGTCGCGGAGGTAGATCCCTGAAGCCTAGATTTGCCTGGGTCGTGTCCCACGTTGGCGAACTTGGAGACTTCGATGTCGCTGGAGCTGGTCCGCTCACGAAGTTGCTCTATGTGAAGTGGTTCAGACAAACAAGCGATATTGGAGCGGTAGACTAGGGTCTACTTGAGCAACGATTCTGAGATGAGGCATTGTGCGAAGTGAGAACTGTGCTTTGAAGATATTTAACTCGTTATTTGCGATTTTCTCGAAGGCGATGAGTAGTGCTAGTCAATCACTTCTCAGATAGTCGAAATTCTTCGGAATCGGCAATTAGTATTAGTCAGTCACTTTTCAAACGCCCGAAATTTCGGTATCGGTAAGTAGTGCTAGTCAACCACTTCTCAGACCTTTAAAAAGTTCTCGAAATTGGTAAGTAGTGTTGGTCAACCATTTCTCACGCATACCGAAATTCTCGAAGATGGCAAGTAATGTTAGTCAACCACCTCTCAGACATCTCTAGATTTTCGATATCGGTAGGCAGTGCAAGTCAACCACTTCTCAGACATTCGAAAATTCTCGAAAACGGCAAGTAGTGTTAGCAAACCACTTCTCAGAAATCCAACAATTCTCCAAATCGGTAAGTAGTGTTAGTCAACCACTTCTCAGACATTTCATAATTCTCGAAACGGTAGGTAGTGCTAGTCAATCATTGTTCAGACATCCTAAAATTCTCAAAGCCCAGAAAAATCCCGAAAATCGAGCTAAAAGCTTCGAAAATGGCGCCGAGAACGTAGACTACTTAGCCACGTACTGAAGAAAGCAACCGACGGTACTTTGCTCTGCTCGAGGCGAAAAAAAGCGCTCTTACTCTCAAAATGGCTGTCTGAACGGCTCTGCTCTAGAGTTTGGAGTGACTTGGATCGTGTCCCACGTCTACTAACTTTGAGACATCAATGCCTGTGGAGTTCGAGGTAACCTGGATCGCGTTCCATGTCCACAAACTTCGAAACACCGAGGTCCCTGGAGTCTGGAGTGATTTGGGCTGTGCCCCACGTCCACAAACTTCGAGATATCGATGTCTCTGGAGTCTGGAGTGACCTGGGTCGTGTTCCACGTTCACAAACTTGGAGACATCGACGTCTCCGAATCCGGGATACGTGTAGGTTGGTTCCTGAACTCTGAACTTGTCTAAATCTACCTTTCAGTATAAACTATTGCCTTAAAATGGAAGCTAAGCACGTAGCTACCATCGTCGCTTCTATTTACTCGCGTAAACACGCTCAATCTTCACGGCTCAACAGCTCGATTACCTCTGTTTCCATCGAAAGCACTCGTGAAATTGCGAGCCACGTTTAATTAACAAGCCCGACGCATTAATTATCGCGGTGACTCGTCGAGGACAGCGGCTGCAAGAGAAAACGAGACTTTCTTCTTCCACGGTGATTTAAAACGAAGCGTTGATAGCTCTCTGGTCAAGGAGAATTTTTCTTTTATATTTCTCATAAATCTTCTCTAACAGACCTCAACTCTACTTCACACAACTTCTCAGTCTACTATTTTTATACTTCTGATAAATCTTCTCTGAGAGATTTCAATTCTAATCAAAGAGAATCATCGAAATTCGTCGACAAATCGACCGATGAAATTCGAGGTGATTCGAGGTCGTAAAATCGTGAACTGGCCACTCGATGCAATCTGTAACGACACGCTTCAGTCAGAACACCCTCTTTCCGTTTTAGCAAAGACCTCAAGGGAGAAGAAACAGCCCTCCTGGCGACGTGAAAGGGCTGATTCGACCTTCTCGTCGAATCTGCTCCCGTTCTACGGTCACGGGACTACCGCTGTCGATCGATATGTTCGGTGGACCGAGCTTCGTTACCGAATCTCCTCGCAGGTGAATCTTCTCGAGCGGGCAACTTTAAGGGGGACTCGATACGAGAACGCCTCAAGGCCAAGACGGGATTAAGGGTGCCGGGGGAGAGACAAAGGTGGAAAAGTGTATCGGTTGAAACGTTTTCTTCAGTCCCACGACACTGTTCTTGACAAGTTGTCCCTGGATTCGTTCTACCATTTTCTTCTTCTTAATTTTTCAATTTTTTTAAACGACGTTCCGATTTTAAGATTCATTTATTTTCGAGTACATTCGTATTGTACGGAGTATTATTTTCGTGAGACTTTTATGTAGATATTAATGTATCGATGGTAATTTATTGAAATGTCATTTATGCGCGAAATTTTAATGGCTATATGATAATAATGAATCGAAGCTGTTTCAATTATATGTCCAATTTGCTGAAAGCCCCGTCGTCGACGTTTCATTTTTCTTCAATGCATGAAACGAATGTTTGTATACGTATAACGCATTCGCAAATAACATTTTAATTACTTGTGACGCATCGTGTTCAGCTGCAGCTGGTGAAAATTGCAGAACGGTGCCGTACGAGAGCCACGTGGTGTGTGATATGACCGAGATTATGACGTCAACGTTTCCGTCATCGAATCCTCGGGTAGGTGGATAGTAAATTCTTGCCGTACCATCCTCGATAGCAGTTATCCTCGAAAATCCATTCTGATTCATGACCCGGGAATTTCATAATACTCTACGGTTCGGTACGATGTACGGCGATTACAGTTAATTACGCCCACGGAAGGGTGACAAAACATAGGGCCATCCTAATCATTCGGATACGTAGGATTTCCAATGGTAATTGTGGGAAATAGAGTTAACTAACGGTGTATCAGTTATTGAAACAATTTTCTTTTTCTTCTTCGTTTTGGAAGTTTAGCTCTTCTGGAATTTGACAATTTTAGAATCAGCGGAAATGAAATTTGACAATTTTTCGAATTTTTCAAACTTTCAGTAAAATTTCTCAATTTTTCAAATTTTGTTCAATCAAACTTTTCAATATTTCTGTTTCTCACTTTTTCAAATTTGTTCTCAGTCAAATTTCTTAATTTCTCAATTCTTCAAATTTGTTCTCAGTCAAATTTCTTAATTTCTCAATTTTTCAAACTTTCTCTCAATCGGATTACTCAGTTTTTCAAATTTTCTCTCAATCAAATTTCCCAATATCTCAGTTTTTGAGATATTGCCCAATTTTTCAACTCTTCCTTCAATCAAACTTCTCAAAATTCCAAATTTTCAAATTTTCTCTATCAAATTTCTCAGTTTTCCAAATAAAAAACGAAGATCCTCGTATCTTCGAAATCAAAGACTACCACAGATTTCGGAGCCTCCGAAGAAATCGAACAGTTCGAGAGATTTTCAAACATCGAACTCTTCTTCAAGTGTTCCAAGAGAACTCGAGTTTCCAAGAATCCGGGCACTTTTCGAACCTCAAGGCTACATTTTCCTCAGTTCTCTGGAATCGCGTTTTACGAGTGGCACGATCGTCCTAACAAGCGGCAACGAATCCTAGGTAACCAGAGCCGTGCTTTTCGAGCCTGATGTTATCCCTAAGGAAGGCGGTTGAATCCAGGAAGGCCGGGTACACGGATTTCACGAATTGAGGGTCACTTGGATAAGAGCTGATAAGTCCAAAGAGCTTGAAATCTTGTCCTTCATAACCCAGCAAAGGATCAACGGGTCTGAAGAAGTTGAAATCGTGTCCCTCGAGTCTGAGGTCATTTCTGCTAGGGTCAGTGAGTCCAGAATGGTTAGAATCGTTCTCTAAAGTCCATTGTTATCCCTACAAAATGGCCCCCCTAGTTCTAGGAAAGCGAATCTAGGTCTTCCCGGACATGTGTCTTTTCTTCTTAATTCCAATTAACTTGGCTAAGGTTCAGAAAGCGTTCACTGAGCTTAAAATACTTTACATTGTCCCCTTTGTATTTGACAAATTAAAAATCACATTGTACAAATTTACGATATAGATTTACGAAAGAGGATGTGCTATTTTTTTTTCTTTTTTCGTGGATTTTGGTACCAGTTTGGCTTCCTATTAAGCTTCAAATTTTCCAGGTCATTGATTTAGTGTTCCAACACGTCTCGAGACAACGTGTCGCGGATTTAACAAACTATAACGTGAGATACAATTTAATTGCGTTACAAAATATCGCTCTCGTTTACTATCGTGTTTCTTGCATAAATGTGTTGTCTACCAGTCCTACATCACTTTTCATATCTATTTTCTTCTTTTTTTTTCAACTTTTCTATATCAAGCGAAACGCGTAGGCAGCGACAGCGGTTTTCATAGATGAGCAGCCGTGTGTGACAAAATTGTAAAAGAACACGTCCGTTAAGTTACAACGTGGCGTGGTCAAAGAAAAATCCTGTGATACCTTATTTTACCGTCGTTCCTGTAAAATTTATAGTTATTCGACGCACAATATCTTACAATTTATACGATGGACGTTACATAGTTGTAACACTATCGTTCGATTAATCGTCGCTTTTATAAAATAGATATAAAATATTGATCTTGAAAATTTTTTAATTTTCCCTGCTTCTTTAAACTCTTTCATCAAATTATTATTTTTTAAATACAATAACTAAGCGTTTTTTAAAATATTAAACTTTTCACACACAGTTTTTGATATTATTATAGTCACTACACAATATTCATAAAAATCAGTCGCCATTTTTATAAAATAGGTTTGAAAAATTAATTTAGAAAATTTCTCAATTCATCCTGCTTCTCCAATTTCTTTCATCAAATTATTATTTTTTAAATACAATAACTAAGCATTGTTTTAAATATTAAACTTTACACATAATTTTCAGTATTTTTAGTCACCAAACAATATTTATAAAAATCAATCCTCACTTTTATAAAATAGGTTTGGAAAATTAATTTCAAAAATTTCTCAATTCATCCTGCTTCTCCAATTTCTTTCATCAAATTATTATTTTTTAAATACAATAACTAAGCATTGTTTTAAATATTAAACTTTACACATAATTTTCAGTATTTTTAGTCACCAAACAATATTTATAAAAATCAATCCTCACTTTTATAAAATAGGTTTGGAAAATTAATTTCAAAAATTTCTCAATTCATCCTGCTTCTCCAATTTCTTTCATCAAATTATTATTTTTTAAATACAATAACTAAGCATTGTTTTAAATATTAAACTTTACACATAATTTTCAGTATTTTTAGTCACCAAACAATATTTATAAAAATCAATCCTCACTTTTATAAAATAGGTTTGGAAAATTAATTTCAAAAATTTCTCAATTCATCCTGCTTCTCCAATTTCTTTCATCAAATTATTATTTTTTAAATACAATAACTAAGCATTGTTTTAAATATTAAACTTTACACATAATTTTCAGTATTTTTAGTCACCAAACAATATTTATAAAAATCAATCCTCACTTTTATAAAATAGGTTTGGAAAATTAATTTCAAAAATTTCTCAATTCATCCTGCTTCTCCAATTTCTTTCATCAAATTATTATTTTTTAAATACAATAACTAAGCATTGTTTTAAATATTAAACTTTACACATAATTTTCAGTATTTTTAGTCACCAAACAATATTTATAAAAATCAATCCTCACTTTTATAAAATAGGTTTGGAAAATTAATTTCAAAAATTTCTCAATTCATCCTGCTTCTCCAATTTCTTTCATCAAATTATTATTTTTTAAATACAATAACTAAGCATTGTTTTAAATATTAAACTTTACACATAATTTTCAGTATTTTTAGTCACCAAACAATATTTATAAAAATCAATCCTCACTTTTATAAAATAGGTTTGGAAAATTAATTTCAAAAATTTCTCAATTCATCCTGCTTCTCCAATTTCTTTCATCAAATTATTATTTTTTAAATACAATAACTAAGCATTGTTTTAAATATTAAACTTTACACATAATTTTCAGTATTTTTAGTCACCAAACAATATTTATAAAAATCAATCCTCACTTTTATAAAATAGGTTTGGAAAATTAATTTCAAAAATTTCTCAATTCATCCTGCTTCTCCAATTTCTTTCATCAAATTATTATTTTTTAAATACAATAACTAAGCATTGTTTTAAATATTAAACTTTACACATAATTTTCAGTATTTTTAGTCACCAAACAATATTTATAAAAATCAATCCTCACTTTTATAAAATAGGTTTGGAAAATTAATTTCAAAAATTTCTCAATTCATCCTGCTTCTCCAATTTCTTTCATCAAATTATTATTTTTTAAATACAATAACTAAGCATTGTTTTAAATATTAAACTTTACACATAATTTTCAATATTTTTAGTCACCAAACAATATTTATAAAAATCAATTGTCACTTTTATAAAATAGGTTTCGAAAATTAATTTCAAAAATTACTCAATTCATCCTGCTTCTCCAAATTCTTTCGCGAAATTATCCTTTTTTAAATACAACTAAGGATTTTTTAAAATATTCAACTTTTCACACACACTTGTGAATATTTCCGCAGCCACCGAACAATGCGCATAACAATCATTCCTCTCCCTTGTTACGAACGAAGCCGAGAGTCTTGTTACTCTATTAGATACGATTCTCCAGAGATTGCAAATAGTATCTTCCATGGAGTTTCACAGCGGAACAGAAGGACATCGACTTGAGATATGACGTTGGATGACATCGGCTCGAAACAATGCAACCCTCTCTCACAATACCGCCACAAGAACGTGGACTCTTGTTCGTCCTGTTCATCCCCCAATTTAACACTTGCGTGACTGTTTCCATTCACGTCGAGCGGATAACAGCGAGTGTTATCTAGGCCATGTAAATTACTTTCGGTAATTCGACAGTGCTCGAATAATTTTCCATACCGAGAGAGAGGGAATAGATCGTCTAATCGAATCCGTAGCTTCCTACTCTAGATCGAAATTCAGTCCTCGTTTATTGGATATCGCAGAGTCGTATTGCAATTTTCTGCGAGCACTAATCGTTCGTTCTAATGTGAAATTTATCGCGACAAATTTTTGCTAATTTACGTGTAATTCGCGTCGATGTGAAATGTACATTCCCAGTCAAACGTTTGCAATTATCTTACGCTAATTGTTTATTGATTCGAAATCGATGGTTTAGAGATCGATAGCCATTTACTTAATTTTGGATCGTTTCGAAAATTTTCGAAGCACTAATCGTTCGTTCTAATGTGAAATTTGTTATGAAAATTTTTGGCAATTTATGTGTAATTCATATCGATGTGAAATGTACATTGCCAGTCAAACGTTTGGAATTATGTGTCACTAATTGTTTATTGATTTGAAATCGATATTTTGGAGATCAATAGCGATTTACTTAATTTTGGTTGGCTTGAAAAATTCTTAAAATTGCTAATTTCTTCCTGGAAATTTTTCTGTAATTTACAGTGCACAGTGATCGCGAAATGATGGCCGATAATGTATACACTTTCGTCAAAGATACATGAAATTTATGGAATCCCGGAACGAAGATACTTCGAACGAAACAAAGTTTCCGAGAATTCAGCATTTACTGTGAAAACTTGCAAATAACACATTTACACGAAACGTCCCACGTATACATCTATAATTTCCGCTAGAATTGGAATTTCACGTGTATCACAAAAAAAAAAAAGAAGGAAGAATAAAGAAAAGAATTCCAATATTACAGCTCAGTTTTATCAGAAAAATATTTTTCCGGCCAATCAATACTTTTCAAGTTTTCCCTTTTGCGCGCTGCTTTCGCGACAGACTCAACTGATACATGTGGCGTGACAGAGTGCCGTAACACCTTCGATTCGTATCAACGTTGATGGCATTGCTTTGCACGAAACGTTGCCCGTTTTTCCTCTGCTTTCTGATACAGTGAACAAAAGGTTTCGTCCATGCGTCATGATGATGGTGATACTTCCATTACGCGTAACATTGCGTACAAAAGAGCGAAAAGATGACAGAGGGAGAGGGAGAGAGAAAGCGTGATCGATGAACAGATGGATAGGTCGACAGACATGGACATAAAATATGAAAAGGAAGCGCAAGAACTGGAGCGGGGGTGTGGACGGAAGATATGGAAACTGCTGGCGTATGCACGAGAGGTGACGTAAGAAACGTAGAAATAGAACAATAACTCCTCTTTTCCACGTTTGAAAACAATTAACGAGGCACCCTTAATTGTTCGAATGCACTTTGTCCTTTCGCCAAGCTTCTATCTTTGTTAAACAAAAGCGTTCTCACGTGCTCTCTCGAAAATGTAACAATAGAACGTTGAGAAGAAGAAACGAAACAATGTTAAAAAATTTTGCAAATTCGTTCAAAACCCACTCCGTACTTCCGAATTAATATTCAAAGTGAATTCAACAGAAACAAACGAGACGAGAGTACATGAAATTTACCTTTCGGTTGATAAACGAAAATTCCACCAGCAACGGGATTAAAGAGACGAGAGGAGAAAATAGAAGAAGAAGGAAGAAAAGTGAGAAAAGTCCCATTAAGAAAACGATGCGCTCAAGTACCAAGCAATTAGCATCCAAGCGGTAGAAAGAGGGTGCAAAAACCGGGCGACACGCGACGACCATTCTTTACACCCTAACCCAAAAGAGCAAACACCGGTAATTACATCATCGCTATCCGGTAACCGGATAATCATATCTCCCTCCATCTCTCTCTGCCCATATGTCTAACGACGCTCGAAGACTACCAGAGAAGTAAAGGCGCAGAGAGAGAGAGAGAGAGAGAGAGAGAGAGAGAGACAGAGCTTGAAGAAAGAGAGGAAGAAAGAAAGAAAAAAAGAGCACAAAGAGACACTGGGCGACGGCAAGGTCGAGTAGTATTCCGAAAGTTAAAGAGTTTTGCTGTAAACGATAGGTAGAGGTAGAGAAGAAGGGAAGGAAGGTGGGCATCGGAGGTGGAGAGAGAGTAAAGTGGTGAAGTGGCCAAGGAGAGAGAGTGCAAGGTTTAGGGTAGGACGCAGCTCGCAGGAGCAGTAATATCGATCGATCCGTCGAGTTCGAGGCTCGACAGGGTCGACTGGGGGTGCTGCAAGTAGGAAAGCTCTCCCATAAGCAGGCAGGCTGGCTGGCTGGCTGGTTGCCCGGGCACGGACCGTTTCCACTGTCTGTCCGTCCGTCTGTCTCGTCTCGTCGCGTCTAGTTCCGTCTAGTCTCGTTCTCTATCTCTGCCTCTTCGGCTCTTATTCTCATCTCTCCTTCGATTTTCACCGTCAGCCACTGTGGTGTGTCTTTGGTTCACGGGTAACAAGTTCAGATCTTAACCTGCCTGCCGCGTTCCGTAAGGTATAATGGTTCTTCTCGTCGCCGCGTGAAACAACAGGAAGAAGACGAAGAAGAAGAATGATCTCGACGGGGCTGAGATAGTAACGACGTCGGTTTTCGTGTGATCGTTCGATTATTACAGTGCTGAGCAATTTCAACATACGCGCAGCCCCCTAATCCGGTGGTTAGGTTCGTTTAGCTGGTGACCTTGAGAAGCAGTGACAGTGCGTGTCTCTGACCTTGATACGCGGTTCGCCAAGTTCTCCAGTGGCACCGCTGCCAGCCGCGACAGCTGATCGACCATCGACCAAGTGGAATTCCAGTGGAGGACGTGCACCGTCTGGATTGCGTCACCGAGCATAATCAGGTGCGTGCGATCGAGCGCGCCCGTTTCGGGGGCTGATCGAGGCCGGGACCGAACAACCCCCGTTCCATGCCACTCGGTGAACGACACTCGTACCCGCGGTTACGTAACGGGCTCCACTCTTGTAACCGGCCAGGACCGCTGTTAGGGCATTTCGCGAGATCCTGCGAGGATCGTTTCGATCGTGGTAATTTTGTCGGTATTTTCTGCGATCTTTGTTTTTAATTTTTTATTTTCTTTTTGCACGGAGTTGAAGTAGGAATGGTGTTTCGGCTGTTCTTGGAGTAGAATTTGGGTGATCGATGGTGAATTTTGTGATTCTTTCCGCGGCAGTGTTTATATGGACGACTGCCATCACTTTTTCTCCACCTCTTTTTGCCCCACCGTGGAAACTTCGTTTTCGATTGCGATGATCGTGACGTGACACGATTATTCAGAGGGTTCGCGTGCAAGCAGCGAAGAGTAGGTTGCGCTGACACAGATTTTCGTGAAACCGGAATGCACACTATCGAGTTCGGGTTTTACGTAACACCGTTAAGACAAGGTAGAGAGCGTTATAGCGGCTGGCACCATGGCCAGCCGGGTGACATTTAAGCGCGGCTATAGCGACGTCGCGCATTAAACACGCTCGAGTTCCGTTTTATCCCGCCGGCTCGACGAGAACAGACGAGAATTCTCCAATTAAATCTGCGAATTTCTATGCTAACGCTTTGCCCTCTACTTCGAACTTCCCTTCTTCGCGTTGATTCGCGGATTATTCTAAAATTTCAATTACCAACCCCTCGCGTAGAACTAAAATACGGCTAAAATGAAATTAACAAAATTGTCTAACTGTGACAACAGTTTCGAGTAATAATTGACGAAAGTGCCAGAGACGAGAAACATCGCGGAAGAAATGAAATTTCTCGCAGCAAGAGTGCACTCGAGTCGCACCCCTCCGCCACCGGAAAGGTTAAAGACGAAAGTCTGCCGCGGACAAGGTCAACAGCTGACGGTTAACGTTAACCGTTTCCCCGAGTGCTCGTGAACCGAGATCGTGATCGATTTCTCTGGTTTCATCCTCTCGCGACGTTCGATTTATCGGGGCCACTTCTCGCGAGTCTCGAGATCTCTCACGTAACGAGATCTTCATCTGGACCTTCGATTAATCTTAATTGCGTCGTTCTTTTCCGACGACGTTCCTCGAACATCGATCTCTCGCGAGAGCAATCCGCACACGAACGTTTCACCCTTCCACGTGAACAGGAGGGTTTCCCGTTTTCTTTTCTTCTCTTTCGTCGAACAGTGGGGACGTTCCAAGTTACTTCAGAGGGAAGCGTTGCTTTTCTTTCCCAACAGGGGAATAGACAGGTATTACGTTTCTCTCATTGTGGAACGATTGCAATTCTTTTCTCTCCTTTTTTGCGAAACGGAGAGTGGATTGTTCGGGTATAATTGACGTATGAGAGAATTTAGATGGTCATTAGAGAGGTTTACGAAGTCGATTGTGGTAGAGAGATGAATTTAAGATGACGTTGAATAGCTCGAAGGTTTATGCTCGTTTCTGTCACGGGACTAATGGACAATTGTGATGCAAAACAATTGGTATATTATTAATACAATGCGATACACAGCAATTGAGGCAGAGAGCGAGAGAGAGAGAGAGAGATTAGGTGCATGCTCGAATAATCCAAAGGGACTTTGAATTTACACAAGGGGCAGGATCGTTGCGTGTATAATATGAAATAATAATTCCCACTCGAATTGGTTTCTCTAATTAGCCAGTCAAGTCGTGCGAATAACCGATCCTCCAATTATTCCAATCAACCTGCAATCACGATATCCGATGAAGTATTAACCGACTTGTATTCATCGGAGTTTCGTTATCGTATTTTTCTTATAAAACGTCGATAACGAGACACTTCCTCCGTTCGAAGATACATTTCGTCGACGTTGTTTTCGCAATGAAACGAAATAATTAAATCTTATTAAAATCGTGGAATTTCTGGCGTTTCCACGTAGTGCCTTATTAAAAGCGTGGTCGAAGGATGAATCGGAGGCAGGAAGGACGTTAATTTCGCGGAGACGTTATTTATCGTGGAATAAGGGATATCTGCGTGGGATTGAACCTATCGTTGCTTGGGTTCTGATATTAACGCGGAGGAAAGGGAATGATGGAAATAGTGGGCGGGGTAGAAATACGGCGTGACCCGGACTGTCAGCTACAAAGCGGCGAGCATTGGAAGAAGTAACTACGTTATTGCGTGACTATGTATCTGGTGTGAACTTGATAACAGCAATTAGGACGCGAATAGCGATTGTTTCGCGGCGTGACCAATCCACGAGGCGTACATGTCGATTTTTCCTCGAGCACGGTCCTTCCATTCGCCTTCGATTTTCGCGTAGAATTCGTGGAAGTCGAACAATATTACAAATTTTAATGAAATATTAGTATGTTTGTTATCGCATAATTTGTGTTTATCGTATCGAGTGAAACTACTGGAAATATAAATTTGGAGAATATAGGGAGAAGTATACCGTAGTCAGCGATTTTTCAAAGGGTTGACGAAATTATTAAGAATATAAAGAAAATTATGGTACACATTGTGCACCATAGTGGGTGAATTTCAAATAAATAGCGAATCTGTGTCGAGGTAAGAGGAGATTTTTAATATTCACTGGTGCGTGTTGTTTCAGAAGGTAGACAAGGGACGAGCGAAACTTCGAAGAATGACCATCGACGAGAAAAATTCATACGGAAAAATCGAAGAAACGGAAGCTAGCGAGGCTTGTTGCACGAACAGTGGTATACACTAACGATGGACACCAGTGGATCAAGAACAGATGCGCCAGCACGAGTTCTCAGACGTTCGCAGAGCATGAAGAGGAGAAGACTCGCCTGACTTCGTAGACGCGTTCGGTGCCAGTTTGGAGAATGGAGGAGTCCTCACCAAGGATTCGTCCCTATCTGGAATGCTGGGACGTAAGTGAATTCGTCTCACGATCCTTTGCTATTCGAACAATCTTACAATTAACACGCACTCCCGTTTACGGGCACTGTAATAACACACTTACCGAATATAGAGCAAACTTAAACGATCCTTCGAAAATTAATACGATCCTGAAAACAGATTATTCCGTCTGGAATTTCGCAGTGAAACGGGTACACGTATTTTTACCGATACGTGATATTAAAATAGAATTTAACATAATGGGTGTTCCAATATTTATGAACGACAGCGTATAAATCCAATCAGATCGATGAAGTATCTAACCTTCACTTTATTAAATACCGCTACTTCATTTATTACTTCGTTATTTTATTCAGCGTTTCCTTTACTAAAATACACAGATTGGGTCATAGAAAACAGGCCACCAAACTATTTTTCTTTAGTTACAGTAGTACCAGAAAATTTTTATAGACAATTTTAACGGTTTCAAAGGACGAACAAGATGAAAGAGAAATTTTTTATAAATGCCACTTTTTTCTTCCTTTTTCTCAAAGTCACGAACGTACGTATTTTTGATGCGACCTTAAACTAACCTTGCACTATAAAATTTTCAATCAAACGTAAAACTTCCTTTCATTTTTTGTCACTTTTTTTTTAATAAAAACAATTTCTCTTCTATCTTATTCATCCTTTGGAACCATTTAAATTTCGTATAAAAATTTGTTCGTATCGCCATAGGTTAGAGAATATAATTAGATGGCTGCTTTCAATTGGCCCACCCGGCACGTTGAAGTGTACGAAATATCGCGTGGGGAAGGCAGCAAACGTTCTCGAGCGAAGGTTAAACCGTCGTCCAAGATCTGTGAACAAAGGAAGGAGAGAAAAAAAGCGGCTGGCTCAAAAAGCTGGCTGAAGAATGCAATTGTCGGGAGTCTTTCCGATTTAAACTCGAATTATGAAAATTGCACACGGAGACTAGGAAAGCCGGAGAAGCTCGTGTTTCTACTGCTCGAGCGATCGTTCAGGACGGCAGCCGCCCCTTCGGGCTCAACCCCTCGTTCCACGCAACACTTACACAACCCCGCGGACACCATTGTTTCTCTCCTGCTTCTTCACTGTGCTCCCTTTAAAATTGCATCGTCTCGCGGAGACGAGCTCTCCCGTTGAATTGCACTCTCTATTCGACGATTCACGTGTTTCGTTTCCCATTTAACATCCCTCTTTCTCCACTCCCCTCGAACCTTCCGTTTCGGAACAAACAGAACGCTTCGAAATCATTATTTCAGTAATTGTGTCTGTCGTTGGAGATGGGAAAATGTTTGGCTCGCTGTGCGTGAAAGGAAAATACGCTCTCAGCTGTTTTTTGCGTTTTTGCGGTAACTTGTTCGAGCGTTTTTATTGATTTCTTTACTTTAACGTTGTGTGGTTAAACTTTTGATAGATTGATCTCTGTGAAATAATTGGATTTTTCAAAGTGATCCATCAGGGACTTTCGAGAAGTGAATTTTTATGTAAATGAAAGTGATTGTATCAGTATCGAGCGTTCACATCTTTGGAAAGTTGCTAGTGGGTCATTTTTGACCCAGCAAGTTGTTTCAGCGTCTATTAGTCTATTTAGTGTCTTTCTGTTGTCTAAAAGGAGAACTTTTTTCAGTAACACTCCTTTTTGTTGTGTTTTATATTTACGCAAAAAAAAAACATGGTAATCTTAAAAAGAAAAGAAAAAAATGGAATTTATAATGAAATTTTTTTCCCATCTTCTTAACCCTTTGAAATTATTTAAATTTTCTCGCACCACCATAGCTAGAGAAGACGAATAAGCGGTCCACTCTGTATACGAACTAATAGCTCTTTAAACCTTCTTTCCAATAAAAAAAAAAAAGAAACACCTGGACACTTTCCCCACTAATAGAACACAGTATCGAAGAATTAAAAAAAGTACGCTCGATGTGTGCATTATCGATAATACGAAAATCAATTTGACCGTTCACAAAGGCGCCCTAAATCGTCCTAAAGCCAATATAAAAATTCATCGCGCACAGCACAGTTGAAAACTATGTGCAGCCTCTGTCGTACACCGTGTTCCCTGAATATAAAAGGAAATATTCACAAAAGTCGCGGGAGGAAAGCCATTCGATACGAGCCAGCGAAGCGCAAAACGCGAGGAATTCGGTCGCGACGTTCGAGGCCCTCGATGCTTGACATTTCGCGCGGGGCGAAGACTCGGATTTAGAATTATTTTCATTCGAATCCGTCGGAATATCGAGGCTTATATTCGTAAGAGGAGAGCGCTGCTCAAGGGAGAGAGAGAGAGTGAGAGAGAAATCGATGGGGAACGCGAGGGACAGTCGAGAATCCATCTCGAAAATGAAATTTCCTTGAATGGCCTCCTCGGGCTGTGCCTTTAATCGATTCGCGTGAAAACCAAAAATCTTCTCTTCTCTTTCTCGAGTGGCGGCCACAACCAACGCGAAACACTGTGCCGCGACCTTAATGCGAACGTGAATTAATGGCGGCGCGAGAAAAACAACAAACGTTTCTTCTCGCTGAATGGAAAATTTTTCTTCCTCGCGAATTAATTCTTACCCTCGCTTTCATAATGGCCTCTCTAAGTGAGGGGGATTAATTAACGGGAAGAGAGTGAGAGAGAGAGAGAGAGAGCGAGGTTGAATCTCGATCTCCCTTAACGCGAGAACTTTCTTCTTTTTTTTTTCTTCTTCTTCCTTACCGCGCTACGTTCGAACTGATTAAAAGTCTGTTTGAACTGTGGCGGTTGGTTAGTCTTTTACCTTGCGGGTTTCTACTTTTCTTTTCTTGTCTTACTTTTTTCTTTTTTTTTTTTAGAGCAACGGAGGAAAGAAAGTCGAGGGAAATTGTTTTTTGCGTCGAGTTAGAGGTGAAAGGTGTCGGTGAGAAGTTTCTCGCGATTTTTGCGGTGGACGAGGTGTGCTTCTGACGTGATAGCAACGGTATTTAGGGTGAACTTTGTGAAATATTAGCTTTCTGAGATTATCAGTCGTGTGTCGTGAAAAGAGAATCTTTTTTTTGTGTGCCATTTTTCTATGATACTACTAAAAATAGGTAAAGTGAAAATTTGGTAATGGAAGCTGTTAGTAACCTTCGGAAAGTCCCTGATAATTAACGAAACACTATTTTCCTAGGATAATCATTCATGAATCGCGAAAAGAAAATTTTTTCCCTTTTTCAATGTATCCTTTTTCTGTAACACTACTGAAAGTAGGTAAAGTGAAAATTTGGTAACGGAAGCTGTTAGTAACCTTCAGAAAGTCCCTGATAATTAACGAAACACTATTTTCCTAGGATAATCATTCATGAATCGCGAAAAGAAAATTTTTTCCCTTTTTCAATGTATCCTTTTTCTACGATACTACTGAAAATAGGTAAAGTCGAAATTCAGTAATGGAAGCTCTTAATAATCTTACTAAACAGATTCACAGAATCCCTGATAATCAGTGAAACACTATTTCCCAAGAATAATCATTTACGTATCATAAAAAGAGATTTTTTCTTTAACACACCCTTTTTCTACGATACTACTGAAAATAGGTAAAGTGAAAATTCAATAACGGAAGCTGTTAATAACCTTACTAAGCGGATTCACCAAGTCCCCGATAATTAAGTGTTAAGTGGTAAAGATTAGACGAAGCAATTAGAGGTAAAATACACCAATAAGAATAGATACTTGTAACAAGTGTGGAAAATGTATATAACTAAAGTATAAAACTTTCCAAGACACTATACCGTTAGATAAATACTTCACTTTTAATGGCTCGAGTAAATGAATCTCTGCCGATAAGAATATCGCGTGTCCCTCTTATCAGTGGAATTAATTTGAATTAATTTCCTAAGAGAAAATATTCTCTCTCACTTTTTTACATTTAAACAGTTTTCTTTAAATATTGCACACGTTATGTTAATCTTCGAACGAGTCTTACTAATTCATTGAATAATGTACACAGACGCATAGGAATGAGAGAATGTCCATCAGATCCTGTTAAATGGAATTTAAGGGCAAGGTATGCTGTCGAAAAGGGTAATTAAAATACACACTGCTGATTGGCGTATTAGAAGCTCGTAGAAACATTTGCTTTCGATGTTCTTTCCGTATCGATTGGAAAGAGAATTTTCTTTAACAGTGTAATAAAATCAAGGTATCGCGAATTTAGCGTAAATATTCCCGTCGTAAATACGTCGTTTTCAATATCGCCTGTCATTTAATATCAGCGTCACGGATTTCCGATTTATTGCGACCTACTAACAATTTCAAGACATCTCGCCCGAACGTTTATTGCAATTTTATTCGGGACGCGGTCGGAAATGCGTATCATTTTCCCGCGAAGCCAATTTCCACGGCAATCGTTGTCAGTTTTCCAAAGTATGTACATTTCGATATCGATTGAAAACAATACAATAAAGAATTAATACCCTATTCACTCGCTATAATACAGTTCTTTCCACGAAAAGACATTCTTCCACTGGAACGATCAAACATTTATAAACCACTGAAAATGGTGCAAAATTATTGTGAAGCAAATTGTATCAAAACACAAAAGAAGTCACAATTTCGAAATAATTATTAAGGGAAAAAATCGAAAATCAATTTTCTCTCAAAATACATTTTTTTTTTATTTAGAAACACACTTTTCTTTTATATTCAAAAAGGAAAAAAAGAAATTGCAAAGTATTATCTATGCTAGCTTGCATGTTTCTGATCGACTTTGAACCTAATTTCAAATAATTCAGTGTTCACTATCAATTTCGCCGAATGAAATGCAAAATTTCACGGTTCGATTTTTTTTTTATACTTAAACACAGACCGTGACACTGTCGGTTGGGTATAAAATGACCCATTAGCAACTTTCCAGAATTTTTAAGCAACTCGAAACTAGGAAACACTAATATCTAGGAAGGTTCACGGTTTCACGCACCACACAAACACGCACACGCATCAGAACGTAAATCATCGAGTTGCACTTGACACACGGGTGTCCCACAAAACGTTATCCAGCTGTTATCTGTGCCGGATGTGCAACGTCCAAGACATCCGGAGAATTAGACGTTGTGCAGGATAAATCGAAACGTCGATGCAATTTGTTACCGCTGATTTCCCAATGGTCATTACCATTCGACGTTCCTGCGAGGAAAACCTCGCAGAGTCTGCGGTTTATTTCTTCCTGTCGCTTAGTTTATGCGACATCGTTGTCGGTGTTGAGACCATTGGGAGCCTATCGATTTTACACGGTTCAAAATTCGTGAAAATTTGTATCCTTCGTTTCTTTTCCTCACCTCGAACAGTTGTTCCCAATCGATGGCATAAGAAAGGAACGATTTTTATTCCTGCGTTATTTTGACATCTTTATAATTTATATTGTAGAATTTTATAAAATTGCGAATTTCATGATTTACATTGTAAAAATTTACGAGAAAGATGATTTACAAAATGTTGGTACAACGACAAAGTGTGGGGTAAATATCGAGTAAGAGGTGTAACGAGGATTTTTAAAGGAAGTCCCGATGTTGGAGTATTATTTTAAAAGTTAACACGAATTAAAGGAAAATGCGTGGATCGCGAGCCACGCCACGGTCTGACCTAATTCGACGCTAAACTACGTTACAATTCCTCTTCCATCGTGAACGAAGTTAAGTATTTATGTTGCTGGTGTGTCACGCCTCGTTATTTCCTTTAATTCTTTATGATCCGGGAAATAGACCTCGAATTAGATGCATTCGCGTTCTAGATTTATTCTCCCTCCTGTCGCATACCGGGTGGCTTAAAAATTCCTCTCCCAAGAAACGTGAAATTCTCTTCAAAATTACAAAATTCCTCCACGCTCTACCAATTCTTCAAATAAAAACATTTTACACAAAAATGTTACAAATTACAATTTACAATACACCTTGTATATTTATCCCGTCGGCAAGACCGAGAACCGCTGTCCCGTAGCTTCACAAACATTTACCAGTTCAACTCGTATCTCTTGCCAACGACGAATCGAACTTTCCACAGAATACGTTTTAAGAGAGGAGAAAAAAGAGAAAAGAATTTCCGTGAAAGACAGAATGGAATAAAACGGTTTTGGTTATTGTACTCTCTGCAGCAGAACGAAGACAAGTACTCGGTGGCGAACAGCCAAGCGCCGTTGCAGGCCGGCGAGGAAGAACACCCGGAACGCGGCACATGGACGGGGAAATTCGACTTCCTGTTGTCTCTTCTGGGCTATAGCGTCGGCCTTGGCAATGTCTGGCGATTCCCGTACCTGTGCTACTCGAACGGAGGGGGTGCATTTCTGATACCGTTCACGGTGATGCTCATTATCGCCGGACTGCCGCTCATGTTCATGGAGCTCTCCTTAGGTAGGCAAAGTGATCCGCTTCGTCGACGTACGGGAGCGTTTCGTTAACAATTTGCTTCGCTGCTTTGACGAATCTGACGTTGGAGAACGAAGACAAATTTTTAATTCGTTTCAATCCTTTGAACTCCAAATTAAAGGAAAAATCTGTTTTTCAATAACTACGTATTATTTGAAGAATTTCATTTGAAATGCACTTCAAAGGACGTTTGGCTGATACGAAGCAATTTGAACAATTTTTTTTACTAATTATATTGAAAATAGCATTAAGGGTCGTATGTACACTACCGGCCAAAAGTTTGGAATCACTGTGCATTGCAAGTTGCGCAAAAATTCTGAGAAAAAAGTCAGCAGCTTTAAGAACTTTTTAACGAATTTCGTATCGTTAATCGATATGAGATAAATTGCTATCTATCTCCACAATATCAATATCAAGTCTATGAAAAATTAGCAGCAGATTCAGTACTGATGAAAATTGGGAGGTGATTCCAAACTTTTGGCCGGCAGTGTATGTGTACCTATTGCTCATGCAGGTAAAACAAATGTTGCAAAATATAACACATATTTAAAAATTACTTCATTCGTGCCTGTGAATAAAACTGACGCCGAGTCACACTCGGCAAAGGAGTCCAAAGGGTCGTGAGAAAGAAATTGGAAGAATTGAAGGAACTTTTTTGTTGATTTTCAAATGTTTGTGACACTTTCTTAAAATTTCTTCTTCAACGTTCAGTTTGTTGATAGATGGTCAATAATGAGGCACGCTGTATAGTAATTCTAATAGTAAACGTACATGAATATAGAAGGTAATGTTAGATCGATACACAATTGACGGCCATCGCGAAGTTTCAACTTTTAAAAAGCAAATTTTAAATTGTACAGTGGAAACGCGATTCCGTTGAACTCGTACGATTTTGTGGATGTTTCTTTCCACTCTAGTTACCCGCTAACTAAGTGCACGTGTACCCACTTGTTTCTGTTCAATCTCAAACGAATCTTGAAGAAAGGAACAAAACGTAATAATGAAATATGAAGACGTTACATCGTTTAAAAAGTGTACAAAAGGAAACAAACAGAAGGTCGTTACAATACCGATCTGATCACGAAGAAAATGTAAATTTGCAACGTAACACGCTAACGTTCCTCGTGTTTCGTGCCCAAGGGATGAACGGGGGCTATTTCAGTCCCGCTAAGATTGATGAAAAGGATCGACTATTTCTATTTTAAACCGTGTTGTCCCGTATAATTCGCCGATTCGAGATTCTTACAGACGAACCGCGCCTTCAAACACCTAGCCCACGAAGCTACACCTCCGAACCAGTATCGATTAACCCGATATCGGTCGAACCCGCGTTGAAACTTTCCAAGGGAGCAACCAGCGTTTTCCTGCCGTTGTGAGACCTCAAATCAAACCAAACACTTTCGATATTTATAATTACAATTGTTGTCGTCGTCAGTTTTTTGTACAGGATGCTTCAGAAAAATGTTAACGTGTTATGTCGAAGTAACTTTTTTGGAGAAATTGAAATGATAACGCGATGTATCGTGTTAACAAGTGTATTCTGCCTTCGGGAAGTCTTTAGTTGTTTGGTGTCATTGATAACAGATTTTTGGAATTTTTTTTAGATGGTTTTCAGAGACGAATTTTCATTGAAATTCTTCGCGTAAATGTTGATAAATTTTTTTTTAAGCACTCTGTATATCTATATCGAGAAGAACACATTTTCTTTAGGTGGTCGTTAGAGCTCTGAGGCGAATTTTTCTGAAATTCTCCACTTAAATGTTAATAAATATATTTTTAAGCAGCCTCTATATCCTTATCGAGAAAAGCACACCTTCTCCAGGTGGTCTCCAAAGCTCTGAGTCGAATTTCTTTCAAATTTTCCACATAAATGTTACTCCCTCTGTCCCATAATAATAGTAGCAGTTGATGAATTTAATTTGTCCCATAATGATAGTGGCAAAAGAAAATAAATATAGAACGCAACATTTACTATCAAAAAACTGGATTAAATTAAACAATAAATTAAAAATATTACTCCTAATTTTTATTTTGAGTGTTTAGATAGTTTCTGGATTTTTCAATAATTTCGTTACTGCATTTTAAACTTGTAGGTAGGATCCCTTGGCTGCGAAGCTTTGCTCTCCCTATATGCATGAGCCGAAAATTATTGGAGCCATCGTTCTTCATTGCGTCCAGCAAAACTTGTTGAAGTGACAGAAACGTATTATTCAGTTTTTTTTTTTTCATATTTTTCTCCATAATCTTTGCATTTACGTCCACAGTTTTGTTTTTTCAAAGAATCAACATTAGCATAAGATTCACCTTGTCAATTATTTTCGGGCGCACGTTTCCAAATTCTTGATATGGTCATTCTCTTGCACTTAAATTGTTTTTCTTTTGATGCATCAAGAACTGGACAATCGCAACTCGATCTTTGCTTGAAAACTCTCCTTTTTTCATCTTACTTTTACAATGGGTTGATATTCAGCTGAAATAAAACTATTGATTTCGATCAGCGGATGAAATTAGAAAAATAGTTATAATTCGCGATAATTAGGTTAACCTAAAAATTGAAAGATGTGTCAAAACAAATGACAAATGTCATGGAACATTGATTTTGATTGAAGGCTTCGCAATTTTGCGCTACAACATAACTTACAGCTGTATTCGCAAATATTCACTTGCTAATATTATTATGGGACAGAGGGAGTAATAAATACTCTTTTCAAGCACCCTGTCTGTCTTTCTCGAGGAAAACACATTTCAGAATTTCTTTCAAATTTCCTATGTAACTTCTTTGAAGCACCCTGTACATCACATATCGAGAAAGACAAATCTTCTCCAGCCAGTCCAGAGCTCCGTGTCGAACTTCTCTCAAACTTCCCACACAACTGTCAACATTTCGTTAAAACACTCTGCATATCCGTATCAACCCTAACACAACTACTTAAAAAGAAAGAAAAAAAAAATAGAAATACTCGAATTCGATCCAAACGCGTTCGAACGCCGCACACTTTCCAGATGAAGAAATCATCGGAAAACGTACACAGAATGTAATCGACTTTTTCTCTTCGCCAGGTTACACAGGACAGCCTCGTTTAAATCAACCGGAAATAGAACACGCGTGGTAAGAATGCAAAGCTCGGGGTGTTCTTATCGGTTGAAGCGGGCTCAAGGTTAAGCCTGTACCACGCTTGTTGATTCACCGAAATAGAACGATCAATGAACGATCGTTCCTCGTTACCGGGCTTACGTAACGTTATTTTTAGGCACCCGGTGAACCGTTCGTGATATCGACCCCTGTGTCGCGCGCGATTCGATACTCCGTGTAAATTGCAAGTGCATCGCCGGCCCTCTGCACAGATGGCCTATCGATCCGCCATCTTCTCTCCACTCTGTCTCTCTCTTTCTCTCTCTCTCTTCTTTCATCCACCTTTTTTTTTCTTTCTCTTTTGCAATATTCTCTCCCCCAGGGCAGTACGCGAGCCTTGGCCCAGTGGCAGCTTACAAACGTTTCTGCCCCCTCCTGCGTGGCTTGGGATACGGAATGGTGTTGGTCAGCTCTGTGGTGATGCTCTATTACAACCTGATCATCGCCTGGACGCTTTATTACATCTTCGTCTCGGTGGCCGGTGAGCTTTCCTATATTTCACAGACGAGTATATCTATATGTGTACACGCTGGAGTGTATTTATTTCGTTTCTTTTTGTCTGGTTTCATTTATCTCCTTATTTCTCTTCACGCTTCTTCTTCTTCTTTTTTTTTTCATCCGGTTTCACGGACGCGGAAACACGGTATCACGAGGCGTGAATTATTGATCTGTCTGAGTGTAGGTTACTACGTTTCGAGTACCAACGCGCTTCTCTTGCCGCTTCCTCTTGTTTTTCAGGGATGTACGAGGTCAGAGGACAGTAGGTAGAGATAGCTCCGCGATACGATTTGATTTAACCCTTTGTACTGGAGAGTGTTCTTGCACGGGAAATTAATCACTCGACGCTTTTCTACTGGGGAACGTGAACGGATGTAGAAGGAACGAACGATATTTTAGTGTGTCACGATGTTAATTCGATTTGAAGAGGTATAGGTAAATATGGAAATGTTTGATTTTGGGGATTGTGACTGAGAACTTTTCGAGTGCAAAGGGTTGACGATGATTATATTCAGTTTCTTTTTTAATATACTTGCGTTGAAAAAAGTATAGGTAAATGTTGAAATGTTAGATTTTGGGGATGGTGATTGAGAACTGTTCGAGTGCAAAGGGATAATGATAATTGTATTCAGTTTCCCCTTTAATATCGAAATATTGAAATGTTAGATTTTGGGGATGGTGATTGAGAATTTTTCGAGCGCAAGGAGTTAATGATAATTATATTCAGTTTCCTTTTTAACCCTTTCGCTGCAACAGATTTTAACGCGAAGCATGGATGACCGACAGTAAATTTTTACCCACAGCTGCAAAATTTGTTATTTAAAATTCGCTTTGTTAAATTAAGGTGGAAGTGCGTAAAGAATGAAATTAGATATTAAATTAAGACGAAAGTGTACCGAAAGGCTCGATCTTTAAAACGTTTACAGGCGCCAATAGTAAGGAAAGGGTTAATACACTTGTATTTAAAGAACTATAGATAGATATTGAAATTTCAAATTTCGCGAGTGGTGTCTAAGAACTTCTCTAGTGCAAAGGGTTAAAGATAACTGTGTTTAATTTGATTTTTTTAATATTACAGAACATCAGGTATAGCGAATAGATCTAGTTCGCGTTCGATTCTGAAAAGACACGTACAGATGTTTCGATAGAACGGTATTGTTAGCTTTTCTTTTGAAGTTTCAACCTCGAAGGAAATTGAGAAAATGTTTGATTCAATGAAAATTCCGTGTAACATTCCTTGTACGATCAAAGGAGCATTATTATCGATACATAGGAGCTGGTAAACTGCCGTGGAGCAGATGTGAACCATCATGGAGCACCGAGGATTGCTTCATGCCAGAAGCTGCGGAAGCGTGTGCGTCTCAAAACATGAGTTACTTCAAAGCGAAATGCTTAAACTCTACCCAGATGGCCTCCATGGGCCTGACTATCGAAAACATCACCAGTGCCATTAGAAGACCACCGGCTGAGGAATATTTTAAGTAAGAATTCTCGTGATATGTTAAAATTTTATTCTACGAAATATTGCGTTTAAAATGTTATTCTACGAAATATTATTCTGTGAAGTATCCGAAAGAAAATATTTGTGATAAGATATTTGGAAGGAAATATTCGTGATACGATATTTGGAAGACAATATTTGTAATAAAATTTTTGAAGGAAAATATTTGCGACCAAATATTTGGGAGAAAATATTCGTGATAACGTTTTTGAAGGAAAATATTTGCGATAAGATATTTTGAAGAAAATATTCGTGATAAGATATTCGAAAGAAAATATTTGTGATAAGATATTTGGGAAAAAATATTCGCGAAGAAATTTTCGAAGGAACATATTTGTAAAAAAATATTCGCGATGAAATATTTGAAATAGATCTACGAACAGTGATGTACGTGTGAAATTGTGTGTCGTATAGCAATCACGTGTTGGGGATGAGTAGCGGAATCGAGGAGACAGGTTCCATACGACACTCGATAGCAGTGAATCTCCTGCTAGCTTGGATCATTGTCTTCCTCTGTCTGAGCAAAGGTGTTCAAAGCTCGGGAAAGGTTGTCTATTTCACTGCTCTCTTCCCATATGTCGTTCTGGTGAGTGTGATCTTAATCGACAGCTTCTAAGACGTTTCGACCTATCTTCTATTTTAACAAATATTCTCGTAATATTTCTACTATTCCTCTATAACTTTCGTATACCTTTAGTTTTTTTATTAAATTACCTGTCAAATAAATTGATACTGAGGTGAACGAGGCAAATGTCGTATTGTAATTGCTCTCAATTTATTTTCAAACTTAATGAAAAATATGACGGTAAAAAGTTTCAACCTTTTTCCATATATTTCTGTAAAATTCTGCATATCCCTTCGAACTCGCGCGAGCCTTGTCGACACGTATGCGTCGAACACTCCCCGAATTCGAACGAAGGCTTTAAAAAAAAATCGAAAGACGAGAGATAGAAATGTCTCCAGAGTGAAATTTAAAGACATATCCTAGCAAAGACCTAGCTGCCATCAATTTATCATTTGCCTTAAACCACCGTCGGAAGATTCAAATTGCAAACTTTCCCGCCACAATCGCAAACTTTTAATTTCTATTTCTATTTCGAACTTTTCTACAATTGCGAAGTTTTCCACGAAAGACGCCCGTGCCTCTGAATAGCAAACAATTACCTCTCCTTATTGCCCGTTCGAGCGATCAGAGCGCACAGAGAACGAACAGAGGATCCTTCATCGATCCCGAAAAAAAGCCGGCAAGCGATAGATGTCGAACGGTGAACGAAGAGACGGTCGGTGCTTTTTGTTCGCAGATCGCTCTTTTCATTCGGGGCATGCTGCTACCGGGCGCCAAGGAGGGCATTCTCTTTTACCTAACGCCCGACTGGAGAAGATTGATGTCCGCGAAAGTGTGGGGAGACGCCGCGGTGCAGATATTCTTCGCCCTGAGCCCCGCTTGGGGCGGTCTGATAACGCTCAGCTCCTATAACAAGTTCACCAACAATTGCTACAAGGACTCGTTGATCGTCGCCGTCAGCAATATCGGCACGTCGTTCTTCGCTGGTTTTGTCATATTCTCTGTGATCGGATTTTTGGCCTACGAGCTTGACGTGCCGGTCGCATCTGTCGTCGATCAGGGGGCTGGATTAGCGTTCATTGTCTATCCCGAGGTGAGTGAATCGAGAGAAAATAGTGTGTAATCGAAGTTCCTTAATTGAGATTGCAAAAATTTCTGATTTTGGGTAGTGTATTTGAAATATTTTGGACATTGAAGTTATTCGAAATAAATAGGTTTGAATTAGTATACTTAAAAGTTCTTTCACTGTTTTTTTTTTTTTTTTGTATTTTAAATATTTTGGACATTGAAGTTATTTGAAATAAATATATTTGAATTAGTATAGGTACTTAATACCCTCGAGACGGATGACCCAACATATGGTAGAGATTAGTGTTATCAGTTTTTTAGGATAAAGTGTATGAAAAGTAAAATTACCATGGATTTTTAGAGAACAATATAAGGGGGTCGTCAATATAGACGTCAATTTCATCGTTTTTAATGTATATTTTTGGAATATATGAAAGTTTCTTTTGTTCTCATTGAAATTTGTATTAAATAAAGGAATTGGTACTATTTCCATTTTCTTGATTTATGAAAAAATAGGTAGTTGCCCGGTTACCAGTCGCACCAGTTTGGTCGCTGCTCTTCTTCGTGATGCTTCTTACCTTGGGTCTCGACTCGCAATTCGCTCTAATGGAAACAGTAACCACCGCGATACTCGACGCTTTTCCGGCATTAAGAAACTACAAATCGTGGGTCGTCCTGGCGGCGGCTGTCTTCGGTTACATTGGAGGAATTATTTTCACTACCAATGTAAGTTATCATAACACACTTATTGCGTTGAATATTAGGTCATCCCATAAGAAGAAATTTACACCGAAACTTAAATCAATATGTCAAACGTACCTCTAAATTTGATGAGAAAATCTAGTCTTCTCGTTTCACAACATTTTCCCACCTTTTTCCATAAAAATTCTTCGATTTTTCATTCAAATACTTTTCTCCTCCGCTATGAACTTAAGGGATGACCTAATGCTTGATAATGACTACAGACTTATTTTTCATTACCTAATCTCCTTGTTTCACAAATTCTTCCCACTGTTTTCTCAAAAGTTTCTTTGAATTTTCATTCAAAGGGATGACTTAACGCTTGATAACGACCATAAACTTAGTCCTAATTAAATGTTATTTTTCATTACCTAATCGCTTTCTCATTTCACAAATTCTTCCCACTGTTTTCACCAAACTTCTTTAATTTTTCATTCAAACACTTTTCTCTTTCGCTATAAACTTACAAGATTATTTTTCATTGCACTCTCAGGCTGGCATGTACTGGCTGCAATTGATGGACAAATACGCGGCGAATTGGTCTGTGCTACTAATCGCCATAGGCGAGTGCATCCTCGTCGCTTGGATCTACGGCGCGGACCGATTTCTCGACGACGTTCAACAGATGATCGGACCACGTAGCCGTCTATGGAGGTTTTTCTGGACGTGGATGTGGAAAGTGAT